CAGTTTGTAACTGATACAGTCCCCCTCAGGCTCACTGCCAGCCTTCTTCTGCCTGGTTTGTAGGCTCTTATCCCAACTGTTGATGATCCACCAGTTAGGTTCAGCTGAGGAGCTATCCACTCTGTCTCTTGACCTTTTGGTGGTTGTGACAGGATGGAGTTTATACCCTCCGTCACAGGACCTAACTTGGCTATGGCGTTTAGGCGCCACCACAACATAAATGATAGTAACAGTAATTCTTAGAGCATATGGCTTCTAGCTGGCCTCCATCAAAATTGTAACTGTATATTCTATTTTTCCTCCTCACCCCTGCTTTCCCTGCAGGAATATCATGACTAACTCAACGCCTTTGACAAGACAGTGCAGATTGTACAAGAGCAGTGTATATAGTTGTGTTGTGTTTTCAAAGAAAATTCCAAAGAACTGTAATTGCTTGTAACAGCTCTTTGATGTTAGGGTTTTCACACATACATTTGTAATAATGTGAGTCCAAAGGGTTAAAGAATTCTAAGATAATTGGCAAAAACATATAATTAAGACCCTGGTCATTTTTAAACAAAAACCAAAACCCCACTCAGGTCAAATTTGGCTTTTTTTTTTTGGTTTGTCCATCATTAATTACAACCAAAAGCCCCAATCGGAACATTCCTGAGCTCTGGGGAAGTTTGGATCTATTTCTGAAAGTTGTAACTTGGGTTTTGCTGTACTTTAAATGCTGTTGATGTTTTCAGCAGACACACATAGTATATAGCACAGTTGATCTTTAAAAGCATTACACTGCATTCATCGGGTGTAAACAGAAAATGCTTTTAAAAGTCCCAGTTGTAGATGGCATGGTTCTTTAGGCAGTTCTGCACTGTTGAAATCTAATTGCAAGCTGTAACTTAGTTGATAAATTGTACACAAAAATGTACTCGGCAGATATGTCTCTAGGACAAATCTAGAAAGAGCAAAAATTTCTCAGTTACAATATTGAAAAATAACCCTCTGCTTGAAACCGATCCTCAGGAGCCATCTACAGACCTTCCCTATATAAAAAGGCTAACTGTCAGTGTAGCCACCCACAACAAATTGTCTGCTTGCCCAAATTAAGGATTTACCCAAAAGAAGGCTATCATTCTTCCAGTTGCATACAGGGCCAGATTAACCCATCACTGGGCTCTATGAAAACACAATTGTGGGTCTCTCTAGTGGACAGCTAAACTAGATGCTCTAGCAGTAGGAACGCATTTGTATTAACCCCATCCTGACCAGCACAGCTGCGCTAGTGATCTGTTAACACAAGCACAAGGGGCTCCTGCGGCAGGGATGTTGCTTAGTTAACTCTCTCCTATCCAGATCAATTTGTGACTGGCTCCTGCTGCACAGACACTCCCCTATTTAATTCCTTCGGGTCTACCCCGTCCCACCCCGGACTCGCCGCTGCCCCTCTACAGTTCCTCCTGAGCGAGGAGTCCTGGTGCAGGAGCTGGTCCTCCCCACAAAGTGGCAAGGAGGAGCAATCCTGGCTGCCCCACTTCAATCCTGGCTGCCCCACTTCCAACTCAGGTTTGGCTTGGCCACCCATTTGTCATGACGGAGGGGTGGCCAGGCCAAATTTGAGTGAGTGGTATTGCGACCTGGCTGATGGGGTCACTGCACTACTCAGTTTGGACCCCACTCCCTACTAATTTGGGCCCCAGGCATGTGCTTAGTTTGTTCATGTTGTTAATTCAGCCACGATTGAATGGCCACTCTTGTTAAGCTATTGATCAAGTTGCCTTGCAGGATCCCAGTGGCTGGCAGTAGGAGATGAAGACATAGCACAGTTCATGTACCAGGACAAACATTAATGCACCTACGAGAATGGGCAGTATGGGGAACTGGCTGGTTTAGGGGTCTGATAATAGGAGATGGGGAACCTTTCATCTCTGTCACTAGTAAAGTTGATATCCAGCCCAGGGAGTCCTGGTCCCATTTTCTAGTGGGTATCTACTTGCACCCTTACTAGGAGTGTTACTAACAATGCCAGTGAGCATGGAAACAGAGCAATCTTCTTTGTCACTCCAGTGAGGGTTCAGTCATGTTGTCAGGATGGTATTTGGAAACTTGCACTGTCAGGGCCCTGGGCTTCAACTATCCTTCAGATAATGAAAGGGCTTCAGGGCAGTTTCCAGTGATGTCGGTCCAGCATTATTCATTACAACTGTGTGAATAACTGATTTTTTGGTTTCCTGTCAGTTCTGAAAATTCACAAAAAAAACCAACTTTGGGTCAACCAAAAACCAAAATTGTTCAGAATTTTCTGTGAATTGGAAATTAGAAAAAAAATGTCTTCAGGTCAAACAAAATTTCTTCAGGTCAAACTTCTGTTTAGTTTCCAGGCATTTAAAAACCATATATATAGATAAAAGCAACAAAAATGAAGGGCAGGGACTGGTCTCTGCCCAACCCCATCCCCACATGAATGCCTCACCCGTTCTGAGGTGAGTCCCTCTTTCATTCTCTCCTATTGAAACGGTTCCACTTTGTAAAAATACTTAAATGTTAATTGGGCCGGAGAGAGAGAGTGAAAATGACTCCATAGCCTAGTGGTTAAGGCACCTGGGAGAGGGACACCTAAGTTCCATTCCCTGCTCAAATAAATGTTTAAGTATGTTATTAAATTTACAATGGGATTTATATCTGAAAAATCAAAACACTTCATTTTGGAAATGTTAAAATGAACTGTTTTAACATTCCCCACACCCCAAAAAACAATTTTTTTGACTGAAACAATTCACCAAAATTGACACAAATTTGTAAAATGTTTTAAGACCAGCCTAAATCTGCCAAAAAAAAAATGTTTTGGCTGAAAAATCTCATCCATCTCTACTGTTCACAAACACTAAATTCACTTATTTGAAATTCACTTATTGAAGAAACAACAAGGGTCAGAATAAAGAGAGGCGTGACTGATCAGAAACAGTACTACAACACTGCAGGGCTGAGGGAAGGAACCTTCAGCTCCCACTTATTTTTTTTTCAGTATGAGGGCATCTGCAGTCAGCTACTCTTAGATATAAGGGGAATAGCTGATGTAGGACTCTGTCCTCACCTCTCCATAGGTTTGGTACACGTGACTTTGCATTGTGCATTGACTTAGGGCAGTGTTTCCCAAACTTGGGATGCCACTTGTGTAAGGAAAGCCCCTGTCGGGCTGGGCCCGTTTGTTTACCTGCTGCATCCGCAGGTCCATCCGATCGCGGCTCCCACTGGACGCGGTTCGCTGCTGCAGGCCAATGGGAACTGCTGGAAGCAGCGGCCAGCATATCCCTTGGCCCGTGCCGCTTCCAGCAGCTCCCATTGGCCTGGAGCAGCGAACCACGTCCAGTGGGAGCCACGATCGGACGGACCTGCGGACGCAGCAGGTAAACAAACTGGCCCGGCTTGACAGGGGATTTCCCTACACAAGCGGCATCCCAAGATTGGGAAACACAGACTTAGAGTCATGTTATTGTCTGCAAGAGACCAGCTGGGAAGTTGCTTCCTTGTCATCAGGGGCGGCTCTAGCTTTTTTGCCGCCACAAGCATGGGAGGTCCCCGGTCCTGCAGATTCGGCGGCATGCCTGCGGGCTTTGGCGTACCCGCTGCCAAATTGCCGCTGAAACCGTGGGACTGGCGGACCTTCCGCAGGCAAGCCACCGAAGGCTCCCTGACTGCCGCCGTCACAGCGACCAGCAGGCCGCCCCCTGCAGCTTGCCGCCCCAGGCACGCGCTTGGAGCGCTAGTGCCTGGAGCCGTTGCTGCTTGTCATGCAGAATTTCTCCATTCTGTTTGTCTCACTTGCTTATACACCAGGTGCATGTGCCAAGGCACTTTAGGATTTGGGCTTCAAATAATTAAAACATTGGTCAAGATCCAACAATAATTAAAGGGTGCCTAGCCTTTCTGAGGAATTATTTTCTCTGCCACACTGTTCATTAGTCCATTATGTGGTAACGTGAAACTAAAATACTGAGTTAGCATATGTGAAATGCCTCTTTATGATGACAGCACCACCTCAGAACCCTTGTGAAGCAGGTATTACACACTCCCATGCATGCACATTTATGAGTGGGAAGTCTGAGACAGAGAGATGAAGTGAACTGGCCAGGATCTCAAGGTGAGCCAATGACAGAGTGGGGAATTGAACCAAAGAGCCCTGATAACCAGGACTATGTTGTAACTGCTGCCCAGCCTCTCACTGTTTTTAACATTTTCTTGCGGATGTGACCCTGGTGACTGTCCATTACAGAGAGTTCAGGAGAACAGGAACACCTCACTGAGTGAAAGAACTCACTTTAGCAACAAACTAGAAAATCCACCTCTTCCCCCTCCCCATAATGAGTTGATCACATTCCTGACTGAGGGAAGCTCTGACCATCTACCTCCATTTTCTTCCTGCCTTAGACACACACACTTGCCCATGCATATGCACTCGGCTACACACACACCCCTATGATTACACATCAAGGTCTGTCATCCTCCCATCCAAAAAGGACAGAATGGGATGTCAGAACAATGGCTTAATCTGCCAGTGAGGTAGCTGTAGGATGCTGCATTGCACTCCCTGTCCCCGTGGTCTGAATGTGCTGTCCCTGCTGAGCCAGGAAGAACAGAGAATGGCACCTAGATTTTTCCATGGCAGTGAAAAACACCTCTGCTAGGACACTGGCTGGCCAGGAAATCTGATCTTGAAACGCTTTCACTTAATCAAAAAGGATTGTTACATTTGTGTTACAAAAGTATATTAGAGTATCTCTGAAAATAAAGAAGAAATGTGTAAACACTTCCTGCCTCAGATTATTTTCTCATTTAAAGTTTTTTTTTTAGAAAAGAATTTTTTTTCTCAGGGAAAAAAAGTTAGCTCTTTAATTTAATGAATAGGCTCCTCTTAAATGCAATTTTCCATTAAGTGTGAATACCATTCAGAATCTTGCCTATGGTGTCCTATGAATCCAGTGACTAATAGCATCGTATATTTTGCAATTCTATCACAGGGCTTTTTCAGGAGGAGTCAGCAAAGCAATGCCACGTACTCCTGTCCTCGTCAGAAGAACTGTTTGATTGACCGAACTAGTAGAAACCGCTGCCAACACTGTCGATTGCAGAAATGCCTTGCTGTGGGGATGTCTCGAGATGGTGAGCACTGCTAGTCCAGGATTGGCATGTGAAAAATAATACTTAGTACGATGCCTGCTCAAACAAATCCTAATGTAGAACTTTAAAATTACTGATGCTATGTTCATATCTGAGAATACCCAGTGGCTTTTATATACTGTATTCTATAATGAAAATCTGTCAGTGCTATCAGAGAGCTAAACAGTTACTCGATTTTTTTTTCTCCTCATTTGCTATAGTTGCTTGTCCCTGGTCACCCCATGAAGATGCCATTTTTAGTCTAACTGTCCTAACATTTGCTCTGTGTGTTTATTACACTCAGATTCTTACCGTTCCAAGTAAAACTCTAATCATTAGATCAGCATAGACCCAAATTATTTACAATTCACGAATGAGTCAAATATTTGGATATGTACAATCTGTGAGAATAGAAGAGTAAAGTTGTAGAATGAAAATACTTAAAATATTTTTTCTTGGCAAAGAAACAGAGAAACCTTATATCTTCCTTTAAACAGGACAGTCAATGTCTTCCTAAGACAAAATGTTAAGTGCTTTCCATACTAAACCCACCTTGTATGCATGCATGACACCTTGTATGCAATACAATGGACAGGCAATATTTCACGTAACACATTTTAAGGACATTACTGAATACAAGACCAGATTCGCAACTGATGTAAATGAGTGCATTTCCATTGATTTCATTGGAGCTGCCGCCACATTGGCCACCTGAGGATCTGGCTCAGTCTTTTCTCAGTTCATATTGTCAGCAGTGTCCCACGTCCATAATCCCAAATGTTCTGAAAACAATGTGCTGCTCTGTGCACATAATAAATGGGACCCTACTCCCTTTGACTTACTTTTCGTGTGGAATTAAATGCCTGACTGTTATTTAAAATCTCTAATGGTTGGTCTCATAAGTGGCTAGGTTTCTTGGAGTTGTTTGGCCTGCTACAGAAACACATGTGCTGATAGTCTTCTTCCCAAAAACATGAAGCCTTTATAGCTGATATCGGTCCCAGAAAATATATAGCATGTTCTTAGGAGCTGCTGTCATACGCAAAACTACTGATGCCAAGCCAACACAAGTCTTTTGCTTCTGATTTTAATGTGCTAGTTCACAAGCACATTAGATATATATGAATATATCTTTTCATGCAGCATACTTATCTTGTGGATTTATTTACTATAAATCATTGATTAAATGTCTTTGTTTATCACATTGACAGACTTGGAACACTAATAAATGTCTGTTGTCGTAAACTGGCTCTATAGCTTTTCCATGCACCTCAGTCCTGATTTCTAAAAAACTTGCTATTTGAGCCTCTTCTGGGCAGAGCCCACCAGTTTATACCTAATCATATGTTGGCTACGCTTATATGTGTACATGCAATAGGAATTGTGCTACTGGTGTCATACCATCAAATTTCATTTTTAATTGCCATCCAACAGTGATGAGATTTGATTGCCTGGATGTTGTAACTCTGACATCTGTGGTGGTGAACCTGGAATGAATATGATCTATTATCTATACAGTTGTAGAGCTAATGAACTATCAAAATAACAATAAAAGCAAATGGTTAAATTAAATGTTTTATTAAAACTGCCATTTAAAGAATATAAGATGTAGCAGGAAGTGTGGTAGTTAAGTTGTGACTGTACCTGTAGGTACCTGGAGATATTTGCACAGATCTAGGTTTTCGTAATGTGTTCATCACTGGGATCTAAGTTCTCAGGATGGTTATGGTGTAGTGGTGATGTATGGAAATAAAGTGTGTTTTGTGTGTATATTTCAGCTGTAAAGTTTGGTCGAATGTCAAAAAAACAGAGGGACAGCTTGTACGCAGAGGTGCAGAAACATCGAATGCAGCAGCAACAGCGAGATCACCAACAGCAACCTGGAGAGGCAGAACCACTGACACCAACATACAGTATCACCACCAATGGGCTAACAGAGCTACATGATGACCTCAGTAATTACATTGATGGGCATACCCCTGAAGGTAGCAAAGCAGACTCTGCAGTTAGCAGCTTCTACTTAGACATACAACCTTCTCCAGATCAGTCGGGTCTTGATATTAATGGAATCAAACCAGAACCAATATGTGACTACACACCAGCATCGGGCTTCTTCCCTTATTGTTCTTTTACAAATGGGGAGACCTCGCCAACTGTGTCCATGGCAGAATTAGGTAATAAGAGAGAAAAGTTTCCATTGTAATTGCTTTAATAATACCCTTTGGGTTCAGAGTAACACATTTAGCCTTCTGTGAATGCTGCTCTAAAATTACACACAGCCTTGCTGTTTTGGTAAAGCTGTAAGAACTGTTCCATGAAGCGCTCAGCACCCTGAACTTCAGCTGGCAGTTGATGGCACTCAGCACCATACAGAATCAGACCAGCAAATTCCACTGGCTCCTTGCTGGTGGGATTTGGGTGGTTTCCCCTGGTTTAGAATCCTATTGGAGGTGGGGTGAATCACGAATGCTGGCAGTTAGATAAAATCATTTTTAGAACTGGGCAAATAATATTCCTTGAGTAATTTATTTGATGAAGAACAGCATCATTTTTTTAAATTATCAGACTAATATTTTTCCCATCTCTACTCTATGTTCCAGCATAAAATGAATAGGCCTGATTCTCTACTATTTTGGAGTCATTTGCACCTGTGACATATGGGTCCAGAATGCTATTCTAATTTGATGGCTTTTTATACCCAGTTTACTCAGGTGACTCCAGAAAGTATGAAGTAGAGGAGAATCTGGTCCCAAATTCATTAGGGAATGAATTCTAGGAAGTTCTGTTAATTTCCCTAGGGCCCTTATAACGACAGCTTTACTTAGCATGTTCTGCCCTACATTTTTCTCCCTGAATGTCTTCTTGAGTACTGAACTCCACAAACGTACTTTAGTGACTTGTCTTAAGAAGGGCTCTGTAAGGTGGCTTGCCAGCATTACACAAGTGGTTTTTAAATCCCGGTTTGCTTAATTGAGCAACCAGTGGTTTTAAAATACCTGTTTTGTTTATTTCTGTAACATTCATGCTAAATACTCATTTACAACATCACTAAAAGTAAAACAATCTATTTGGAAAATATCATATTCTTTGACAAATCAGCATAACACAAGTTTGATTTCCCCCTCCCTATTTTTCTTAATAGGGACATCTTGCATGAAAACAGGTTTTTTGTTACTCCTGTTTGAAGTCCTCCTCCTCTGCTTGTGGAATCCAGTTCTCTGCAGCGCAGTTTGTTGTGACTTTACAACCAGAGGATTATGTCCCTGTTTCAATTCAAATAATTTGAGTCTTAGATAAGTAAAAATGAGAAGAAGAAATCTGAAAATAAAGGTTATGCCAGCAGCTTTGTCTCAGTCAAATGGTTTTGTGTGTGTGTTTTCATGGGTGATTATTAAAGGATAACCCGACAAAGGCAAGGGAATTGAAGGCTAGCTCATCCTAAGTGAGATGCTAAGTTTGGAGCCTGGCTTAAAGTAGTGGTTTATTATGTTACTTATCTTTTAAACTGGTTTGTAATATGGTTTGGCTGGCCAGCATGGACAGGGCCAAACACTGTAATAACCATATTTAAGTATTTTCCAATCCTGTTCATGAAAGTATGTAAGCACGTGATTAAATACTTTCCTGAACTGAGGCCTAGATTTGTGCTTAGCCATGCTATCAAATCTAGCCCAGTGTATCTTACAAATACATCCCCCTCCCTGAGCTGTCAGATGTTGTGACTAGGTTCTAATGTTGTTTTTAAGGGTATATATGTATGAAATTGCTGCTGGAGCATATGAAAGCTGTGGTGACAACAACCACTTTATACTCTATGTTGTGTAATTTAGATGGTGCATATGATCAGCTTTTATTGAAGGTTGTAATTTAAACCTTTATTGAATTGTCTTGCTCTTGAGAAAGGGCTTCAATTAGTCCATTTAGCATGATGTGAAACAACCTGTTTTGTAGTGTGAGTTTATTATTTAAAGAATTTTTCAAACAAAGAAACAGCTTTCACAGAAAAGCTGACTCAAGAGGCCTTAAACGGGGAGTTATGGATGACCATTCAGATCATTTTAGGGCCAGAGGTTCATGGTGGTTTAGCCAGAGAAAGCACTGATTGCAGAACTGTGCAAGTAGGGGGACCAGGATTTTGCTCTTTGATAGATCTGTTTCTATGTGCTTAAATAAGGATGGGCAGGGAGGTAGGTTGCACGTCTAAGGGCACATTTTTTAGGCGTCTGCCTTTGAAAAACCTCCTCCCAAATATGTACAAATCAGTTATTGATAAGCCATTCAGATGTGTTTTAACAAAGCATATTGGCAAAAGAAGGATGGTCTCTAGAATGAATATATTGTATGTAAACCTCCATCACGTCGAAATGGCTACACTACTACTTTAAAACTAAGGAAAATTTGAGACATCATTTGTATAATTTTTTATCTTGGTTCCCTAAAAAGTGTATTCTCAACCAAGATTTATTTTTAAAAAATCATCCCTAGAGAAAAAAACTTGCCAAGGAGGCAGCCTCTATGATACAGTGTCCCAGCTGATATCTCGCAGGATGGGTCCTCTATACCTTACATTCCTTTTTAAAGAAAACATTTCTCTTATTTCAAATGTTCATGGATTTAGTTCTGGAGAAAGATGCCGGTTTGACAGCCGTGGCGAGAAATGCTGTTTATTCATGAAGCAGCTTACAGCACCAGCAGGGCTGTCATCACCCCACCTCCACTAATGTGCCTCCACCCTAAACTGATGGGCCCATTGACTCCTGGGCCACTCTTCTGTGGCTCCTAGTAAGGAGTTTAGTTTTTTGCCCAGTTCCCCAGGCAGGTTTCCATCTCAGTAAAAACACCAAGACCACCAGCTAGTACAGTACATTACATTGAGAGCAAGGTGAAACTGTGAGTTTGCCGATCACAAGGCTTTCTCAAGTTTCCACGGAGCTTTACCTTTACATAGTTTCAGATGGGTTTTCCTCCCTTAAAACCTATTTGGCAATCATTGCTCCTGGAGAGAGGAGCTGTTTCTCTCAAATCTCAGTATGCCTACTTCAGCCCAGGTTCACCCAGACATCTTAACTAAGCTTTAACTTGGTAATGAACTAATAACAGAGCAAATCTACCAGTTTTTGTTCATTATTGAAAATTTCCTATAGCTGCACTTGTGAACCAGTAACATACGTAAATGGGTGTACACTGCCCTCTCCTGGATGGTCTCCGACCACTGTGGGAACACTCTCAGAGCTATTAGGTATGTATACACTGCAGGAGTATTTTAATTTAATTTAAATCAGGGTGATTTAATCTAGCTAGTTTGGATACCAATAGCAGTAAGCTGCAGCAGGCCACTTACTCAGGTGGCTAGCCCGCACTAAAGTCCATGCTGCTATGGTTCAACTGTTATTGGTGTCTGGACTAGCTAGATTAAAGCTAGCTTGTGCTGCAATCACACCTCCAGGTGCAGTATAAATAGCCCCTTACAGTATGTCTACGCTGCAGCGGGGAGCATGCCTCCCAGCCCAGGTAGACAGACTCGCACTAGCTCTGCTTGAGCTAGCGCACTAAAAATAGAAGTGTGGATGTTGCAGCAAGGACTGGGGCTCGGGGTGGTCACCTGTGTCCCAAGTCTGCCCAACCCCCTTGGTCCAAGCTCAGGTGGCTAGCCTGAGCTGCTTCGCTGCCACAACATCCACACTGCTCCCAGCTCCAGTATAGACATACCCTTAGGGACCAGAATTTTTTTCTTTACTTGTATCTTTTTGCAAACGTCCTAAAATATTTTTCAAAAGGATAATCCAAGGAGCTATTGGAACTATCAGAAAATAGATTAAAGTTCTTTTCATAATAACTAAAGTTTCTAATCGTAATTTCTGCAGTTCACTCTTCTGCTGGACAGAAATCACACTGGGATAGCGTTGCTCTTTTAATGCATGCCACTTCTTACTCTTCCTTCTAGAACATCTTGCACAGAATATTTCAAAGTCACACATGGAAACTTGCCAGTATTTGAGAGAAGAGCTACAGCAGATAACATGGCAGACTTTTCTGCAGGAAGAAATTGAGAACTACCAGAACAAGGTATAATAAAATACCGTCTTTATACCTTCTCGGGTTTTTTAAAGCTGTTAATCTTATAACATTCTGTTAACTGTTAAATTCAGCGTTTTCAAATTTTTTCTATTTCCAGTAGGAAATTTTGGTTGGTTTGTATGCAGGAGAGAAGTATGTACCCTGCACCTTTAACTTGTCACTAGTAATAAGCTGGAATGAAAAGTCGCAAGTGGGTAGTGATTTCTCTGGATCTCGCATGTGGGGTTTTTACAGGTGTGGCACATACTCCTGGTTACCTGTGCTTAAAGAACAAGGGTTAGAAAGACAGAGCCAGTGAGTACCACTCCTAAATGGTAGAATGAGTCTCTGGATTAGTGAAATGAGTGCTCCCTACAGCTAGGTCCTGTTTACATTTCTGTTGCTTAATTTGTGGTGTACCCAGGCACCAAAAATCCTTAAGATTAAGAAAAACTAGAAGGGCCAGACTCAGAAACCCCAGGTTCTTGTCACCCATGTCATACTGCTGAACATATCTATGAGGACACGTGGGCTGTGTTGTCTTCCTTATGTTGACATCAAGCTGTATCAATAAATGGCCTAATATCTTAATGCTGTATTTCAAATCCCAAGTGCTCAAACATCATGAGTCAGGTCCCAAAAAATCATGAATTTAATTTAAAAACCATAAGATTTGGGTCTTGGTATTTTTCTTCTGGTTTTTGAATGTTTCATTTTCATATTTTCAAGCTTTTCTCCACAACCTGGAGGGGTGGAAACTTTCTTTTTTTTAAATGAGATCTGAGATTCTCTTAGAATGGCCTGACTCCAGGAGCTAGTGCTTTAAGAAATGTATCAAGTATCATGAGACTACTGTTAAAATCTTGAAAGCTGGCAATACTGTTAATAAAGCTGAGGTTCGGATAAAAGGTTAGCTGGGTCAGGCTCAATCAGCAGCCTATATGCAAACTGATGTGCAATTTAATATTACCCTTGGGTCCATTTCAACATTGCTGCTTTCCCGGATTCTCTTTTAGTATATGTGTTTTGGAGTATTTGTGCATTTTATTTGTATTTTTTTAATGTATTTTTTGTTTGTGCATTTGGTCCCTGCCTTGTGTAAGGGGAGATGTACAGTTATGCTGCCCTGGGAGAAACCTTGGGAAGAAACTGACTATCAGCCAACTGGAATGAGGGCAGTCTAGTCTAATTGTTGGAGAAGGCGGCAGGCCTAGTGTTTATGGTCAGAACTGTAGTCAGTAGCCAGGGTCAAGCTGGAGCCTGTAGTCAGAAGCCAGAGCCAAGGGTCAAATCAGAGGGCAAGAACTGGAGTCTCAGGCTAGACAAGGTGCAAGACAGGAGCAGCAGGAACCATGTAACACAGGAGCAGGCACAGTTGTGGGCATGAGCATTGCAAAGTCAGCGAGGAGCTGCTGCTGCTGGCTTAGAAGCCAGCCTCAACAGTCGATCAGGTTGCGTGGCTAATCAAGCAGCCTGCTGCAGGCCAGCTGTACTGGGGCGGGGGGGAGAGGGCTCTAGACTAGCTCTGCTGTAGGCCCTCATTCCTGATACTGGCTTTCTGAGCCATTCCTCCATTCCTGCTCCTCGCGCTTGGGGACAAACCCTGTCTCTGCCTGCATGGTGGGTGCACAGACTGCACAAACCATGTACAGCTCCGTGTGGAGAGGGAGTCATGGCCATCCCCCTGTCCCTTTGAGAGGGATGTGAGCTCCCATGGATGCAGAGAGGGAGCAGTACCTGCACTCCCATGAGCTTAGGGGACAATCATTCTACTTCTAGCCCTAACCAGTAGTATAATACTCATAGACTGTGCAGCCAGAAGGCACCATCATGATCACCTAGTCTGACCTCCTGCAAGCTCCTGAAGTCTCCTCGCGTAAGGTAGATTCTTCATTCTTCTGAGCATCCTGTAGTCCTTCTCTGCATCTGTTCCAGTTTGAATTCATCTTTCTTAAACATGGGAGATCAGAACTGGACTTAGTATTCTAGATGAGGTCTCAACAGTGCCTTGTATAATGGTAATAACACTTCCCTATTTCTACTGGAAATACCTTGGCTGATGCATCCTAGGATCGCATTAGCCTTTTGCATAATCACGTCTGATAATCATACTGTGGTAGACTTGCTATATTGGTCATTCTCCTCCTCTGTTGCTTCCAGCTGATACATCCTCAGTTTACAGCAAAAATTGTTGTTGTTAGTCCCTAAGTAAATGACCTTGCACTTCACACTATTAAATTTCATCCCATTTCTATTACTTCTGTTTTCTAGGTCATCCAAATATTCTTGTATGATATTCTGATCCTCCTCCATATTGGCAATACCTCCCAACTTTGTATCATCTGCAAATTTTATTAGCTCATTTCCACTTTTTTTTGCCAAGATCATTAATGAAAATGTTAAATAATATCAGTCCCTAACCAATCCCTGAGGAGCTCAACTAGTAACCTCTTTGTAGACTGACAGTTCATCTGTCAGCATGACTCATTGTAGTCTCCCCTTTAATCAGTTCCTTACCCACCTTTTGATTCTTGTATTAATCTCCATCTTCTCCAGTTTAATAATTTCCCATGTGGAACTGCATCAAATGCTCTACTGCAATCCAGGTAGATTCGATCTATTGCAGTTCCTTTGTCTCGAAAATTAGTTATCTTCTTAAAGAAAGAGATTGGATTGGTCTGGCACAATCTACCTTTTGTAAACCCATGTTGTATTTTATCCCAATTACTGTTTACCTGTATGTCCTTAACTACTCTCTCTTTCAAAATTTGTTCCAAGACCTTGCATATAATTGAGGTCAAACTAACTGGCATGTAGTTTCCCAGATCACTTTTTTCTTTTTCTTTCTCAGATATAGGTACTGTATTTGCAATTCTCCAGTCATAGGGTATTGCTCCCAAGTTTACAGACTGATTAAAATTCCTTGCTATTTGGCTTGCAATTTCATGTGCCAGTTCCTTTAATATTCTTGGATGGAGATTATCTGGGCTATGCAATATGGTCCCATTAAGCTGTTTGAGTTTGCCTGCCATCTCACATGTGGTAGATTCTACTTCCAAATCCTTGTTCCCATTAGCCACCCTGCCACTGCCCCCAAGCTCCTCCATTACCCATGTTAAAAACTAAGGCAAAGCATTGATTTAGGTGTTGGGTCAAATCTAAATTCTTTAATCTCTACCCCATCCTCAGTGCTTAGTGGTCCCACTTTTTCCCCTTTGTTTTCTTTTTATTTATATGGCTAAAGAAACTTTTACTGTTGGTAAAGGACTCAACCCTTCTGCCAGCTCAGCTGCACTGGCCAGAGTTTTGGGAAGTGCAGCAGAGGCTCTGCTCACCATTTGATGGGTGTGGGAAGGGAGGGATTACCCAATGCCTTGCACTTCCAGCCACAGTGCAAGGAGGCTGCACCAGGGAATGAAGTGTCTTATTCCTGTTTTCATTCCTGCATGACAATATAGGGCCATGCTGTAATCTGGCTCCTAAATTGCACTGGCTGCTTAATATGTAATGCGGAGGGTTAATTATTATTTAATTGTTATTTGAGATAGTGCATTTCTGTTTGGAGATTAAAATCCTAGAACTGGGTGTAAGGATTCCTGGTTTCTGTTTACAGTTTTGCCTTTGAGTCACTCTGCAACTGTGGGCAAGTCACTTGATTTCACAGTGCCTCGGTGTACCTGTACAGTGGGTAGCACAATGCTGTCCTCCTCAAAGGGGTTTTGTGATGCGTAATTAGCCTTTGTATTTCCATAGCACCTTCCATCTGAATGTCACAAAGCACTTACTAGTGAAACAGTTCTTGGGAAGTACTATTAAACCCACTTCTGTTTAGATAAATATTTCTTGTGTTCTCTGCAGCATGTCTATCGTATTAAAAAGTCCCAGTTTTTACACTACATAGGTAGTTTCATTCTAAATTATTGAGACGCTTGTGGTGCAAATGACTGGTTACCAATACCATAAATAATATGTGATTATATATATTTTAAGATCCCCTTGTTATTTGATTTAAATTCAGTAGGAAACAGAGTACTTGGTAAGAAGCATAGAATTACTTTTGAGAGCTTAGTTATGTCTGTTGGGTCCAGTTCTGCCTTCTGTTGCACGCATACAAATCCAGTGTAAATCATTGGAAGCAGTACCCAGGCATCTGAGGGGAGAATTTGTCTCTTGAGACAAGAAGTCCCAGCCTAGATCTTATGGCCAACAGTAAATGAGTGCTGCACGTATACATATGCCTGTAAGAAGCTCGTTTACCCTTTCCACCTCCTAAATTATACTCATGAACGCTGGCGAGGTTTGGGGGCTCTGCTTTGCTTTTCAACTTCATTTTCCTTTATGAAAAGGAGCTTACACAAGCTTGAATAGTGATTTATCCCTTTCTCTTCAACAGCAGAGGGAGGTAATGTGGCAGTTATGTGCAGTCAAAATAACAGAAGCTATACAGTATGTCGTGGAGTTTGCCAAACGCATTGATGGCTTTATGGAACTGTGTCAAAATGATCAAATCGTGCTTTTAAAAGCAGGTATGTTGGTGAATTCTGAGGCCTGCTTCTAACGAGCTTTTAACCTAGGGAAATGCTATGTAAGTAAAATGATTGAGGTCAGTTTTGACTTCAGATATTTCCTTGTGTTTCTTTCAGTACAACCTAACAAGGTTTATAGCTCTTTCCTTGGATATATGTGTTCATCTTAGATGTTCTGGATGGAAGCGTCTGTATGTATCTGTGTGGAGCTTCCATTAGAAACAGTGGAAGTATTGTGTGGGTACAAATGACTGGGTCGAGCACATAAAATAGATTTCTGATTTGTTTTGATAACAGTGAATAGTTCTTTTCCAGGTAAAAGTTCAGACTTTGTTATAGGGAAGGTATTATAGAAATGACGTGGTTTACAAATAAATGGTTAAGTTCTTATATGTTCACCAGTGTAAATCCAATTTAATTGCCTTGACTTCAGTGGAGGTACACTGGATTTATTCTGATATAACTAACTTTGGAGATTTCTTTTAATGCTCATGGTAAATCAAACCATTCTCAGTTATAATTGCAGAACCACTACAGTACTGGACCTTTTTAAAAAGTTCTTCCATTTTGCTCTTTGTAACTGAAATCCCTATTAAAATAATCAAATCTGTGTATTGTTTGCATTTAGGATCTTTAGAGGTTGTGTTTATCAGAATGTGCCGTGCCTTTGACTCCCAAAACAACACAGTGTACTTTGACGGCAAGTACGCTAGCCCAGATGTTTTCAAGTCACTAGGTAAGAAAATCTCAAATACTCTGTATAAAAACAAGTAGAAAAGAGGTTAGAAACTGAAAGCGGACCATATACAAAAAATAGACTGGGACTTAAACACTGTGTTAGGTATACAAAGGGAAAAGTTTAAAGGTAACTCAAAATCTAGATAGTCTTGGATTGCTTATTATGTAAGGTACTATGTATGGGTCCACTTCTTAAAGTTGGCTGACTAAATTTGGGGACCAGTTGAGTTCAATGGAAATTGAAATCATGTAACAGAATGCAGAATTGGGCCCTTGGTGTTCAGATCAGGCACCCAGATACCTGTTTTAAACAGGTCAGTACTAATTTGAATATGCATCCAGTTTAGGCACCCAGATTTGATAACTGGAGTAATATTTGCTATATTCTAACTATACAGAAAAGCAGGTTCTTGGGTGAATTTGGACACCACAATGTTATCCTTCCAAAGCTGCCGGTCTTCTTTTTTAATCTTTCAAGAACATATGTACACAAAGATGAAAATAACATTGCTGAGAGATTATTGGAAGTAGATCACTTGACTAAAAAATGGATTTTTTTTTCAATTTCCCAGTAATTTGCCATTTTGACCTTTTGTGTGTATTTTTGTCAATTTTATCTGGGAGTTACTATTAAGTTTGTATATGGGGTGTAAACTGGATAAGATAACATAGAGTGCTGAAGGATAAAATGGCAGTGAAGAACTGGTTGTATCATTTTACAGATATTCTGCACCTATTTAAAATGCCCAAAGGTACAAAGTATGGACATGAACAGTTCAGATAGTAATATTGTATGTGGGCTTCAGCTGGACTCCACTGAAATATACTTTCAACCTTAACCTTTTAAATTTGTTCTCCATGAGCATCAAAAAACTCTAAATCAGGTTGGTGTATAAGACTGCGGGGGGAAAGCCCTGTTCCAACAAATCTTCCAAGGCCCTCTAAAGCGGGGCTCCCCTCCTGCAGATTGTAGGAAGCATGTATGATAGTGGTGGTAATCTGAGTTATACCTGCATGGCATATGGGGGTGGAAGGGAAAGGAAGAAGAGATGGAGAGGCGCCTATCCACATTAAAATCTTGCAGCACTCTGCTTTTCCCTGTCCTCCTCTCTTTCCGTATGTTCCCTGTGCATACACCCTATATGCCTCCCTCAGTTCCCTGCACCTTCTTCCATGGCTGTCTCCTTTATCCTATTTCATTTGCCCTCTATGTTTTTGGGTTCCCCTGCACTCCACTTCATCACTATTGTCCTGCCCCATTAGTGTCCTGTCTCCTCTGCATGTTCCTCCTCCTCTTGGATCTTCTAGAGCTAGTCCCATTTTGAGGCTGGGAGCCACGTCTACCCCAGTTCATGTCCGCTAGGTCCCCAACCCATTATATCCACGCTTTTTCCCATACTGCTGTCCCACCCTATTTCACCCCTGGGTCTTCTCTCTCTTCCTTCCTCCTTTTCCTGTCTCACCCTCTGACACTACCCAGCAGCTGGAGTCAGATGGAGGTCATTTTATTTTTATGAGCATATATAGTACAGTTGCTCTTGATACACTTTAAAACAACTCCTTATGCATTTTTCTGCACCCCCTCCCAAAAATACCAAAGGCACTTCCTTCATCAATAAAACAAAACCAATTTTAAATTTTTAGGCCAAGTCATTTGGAGATCAAGTCAGCCCAAAAATTTTTAGATATTTGGCAAGCGTAGTGGTAGTTCACGTCTATGAAATGACTTTAAGTTATAAAATGATCTTCTTTTCACCAAATTTACCAGAAAAAGTCACAAAACTTCAGGAAGATTGGGGAAAGTTGGAGGTGTATAAAAATGGCCCATAATGGGCTACTAGCTTCAACTTTATTATGCAACTACCACCAATCCATACTTCTTTAAAGAGAGGAGCCTTGATCTTGTAGGTATTTCACATCCATTAGCCTCCGCCGTCAGAGTAAAATAACTGTCCCATCACTTTGAAGCAGTCTCATCAGAAATCCTAAATGATATGTACCTTCCTTTTGGCAGGTTGTGAAGACTTCATTAGTTTTGTGTTTGAATTTGGAAAGAGCTTATGTTCTATGCACCTGACAGAAGATGAGATTGCTTTGTTTTCTGCATTTGTTTTAATGTCTGCAGGTAAGATGTAAAATATCACTCTACATTTGTTTGATGGAATCTAGTGATTCTTTTATTATGAAGTATGCCTTAATGATAATCTGGTAGGCAACCCGTAAGCATGTAATGTAATCACCTTCTTGTATGCCCCTTCCCTAATCATTTCCTACTCTGGATTTTACTTTAACAAATATATTTAAAGGTGGGTGCTAGGGTAATTTTGCTCAAACGATTCATCCTAATATATGCCCACATTTTGTTGCCCTTAGTCTGTGTTGAGTAGTACATGTCTCTGTGAGTAGTCCCATTGAAACTAATGGATCTCCTCGAGGAGCAAGGTATTACCATGTGAATAAGGGTGGCAGGTGTCCCCTGATTTGCAGAATGGTAGCTACATTATCATGCCATTTGGCAGCTCAAGAGTATTTAGTGTTGTGTTTTCTTAGTGCAAGAACCACAGAATTGTTTGGTTCTGCCACCTTGGCGATGTCAGATATAATGCTCCTTGTTTGCCAAGAAGTGCACAGGAACGATTTCTTTTAAATATGCTTTTCTTAAAACTATTTGTTTCTGTTGTTTTCTGTGCGTCAAAAAGAAAACCTTGCAACAAAGATCCTTTGGTTAGTCATTCATTACATAATCTCGTCGTCTCCAGGATGAAAATATTGCTAGCTTAATTTTGTAATACAGTCTTATTAGCATGTGACACATTAACAAATATGGTTCAAGCTTGCTGAGATCCTCTTATACTTCCTGTATAAAACTCCATTGGAATGGAAGGGAGGTTGGCAACAGGAAAGATGAATGTAGCATAGGCTCTAAGAACATTTCTTTGCATATTGTGATGCCAATGTGCAATACCAGAAATATTCACTTCCTTTACATTTAGATCGTTCATGGCTTCAGGAGAAGGTAAAAATCGAAAAACTCCAACAGAAGATTCAGCTAGCACTTCAGCATGTCCTGCAGAAGAATCACCGAGAAGATGGAATTCTAACAAAGGTGAGCACCAAAAACTGTGCCTTATCCTCTGAACATGAAAGCATTCTACACTAGTAACAGCAGCATAATTACTGCCTGACTAACAGCTCTCATTGGTCCTTTGCATCCCTCTCCTTTTCTAGACTTGCTTGTTCAAAATCCAGCCTGCCTAGTTTCAACCACTTCCTAACAGAACCCAGAAGGGGAAAGAAAAGGTTGAGGTAGAGGGCAGAGAGAACTAGAGGGGTTAGAGAAATGTAATTTTAACTTTGAGCTTCATGAAAAGCCGTCAAGTGTCTCCTCTCTTTATACCTTCCCTCTCTGTTCCCCCAACTACCCCAGTGAATGTTTCTGCCACACAGGTTACTATTTCAGCCCTACTACAGAAATGGAATTAGGCCCCAAAAAATCCCTGCTGTTTAATGATTTCCTCTCTTTGAATCAAACAAGCAAGTGCATCTTTAAGCTGCTAAAATTCATCTTTAAGGAAAACAATCAAGGTAAACTAGAAGTGGTTGATCCTAAAAGCAAAATCAGCAGAGAAGAGAGCCTGTTTTGTGTATGACTGTATTTTTCTTGTGTGTTTTTTTCCCCAGTTAATATGCAAAGTGTCTACTTTAAGAGCACTGTGTGGACGACATACAGAAAAACTTATGGCATTTAAAGCAATATACCCAGACATTGTGCGACTTCATTTTCCTCCATTGTACAAGGAGTTGTTCACTTCAGAATTTGAGCCAGCAATGCAAATTGATGGGTAAATATATCACCTAAGCACTTCTAGAATGTCTGAAGTACAAACATTAAAAATAAAGAAAAAAAAAAGAAAACCAAGACACTTTATATGGCCCTGCACAGACCTAGGGAGCCAACACACTGCACATCTTTTGGCGGTCGGGGTCAGGCAAAGGATGGGAAACAATGAAACAAAGTTGAACTTGTTTTTCTCATGCATATGATTTCCATTATGCCTACAAATATGGACCCTTTTTCTGTCTCGACTTCTCAATCTTTGACCTCTGTTTACACAGAATGAGGGTACTAAACTCAGAAGGTTTCTTTTTCCTTGTAGTTCACTGCCCACAGACTTTCAACAGAACAATCAATTTGTTGATCACAGCAGAGTCCAGCGACTGGTGTGTACTGCAGAGGTTTCAGCATCAGTTTGCACAACTTGCTCATTGTTTCATGAAGGACGAATTTTTTCATCTACCATTGATTGCCAATAGGCAAAATGGCACGAAAAGGGTCCATAGCAATAGCAACAATAGCATTATAATATATTACAGGGTAAATGGGCATGAAGACTATATATAGCAAAAGAGATATTGTTTATATATTGTTTTAATTAATATAAAAAGTAGTTACTGGTATAGCTTTTCTTGTTGAATTGATAAGGCACTTTCATTTTGCACCTTTTTCTTTAAATTAAATGCTAGCGTGTTCATTGTCGTGTTGCATGTGCACCAGAAATTCAAGTTTAACTGAAAAGGTTTGGAAGGTACTGATACATTAGAAGGTATTTATGCTGCTGTTTTCAACATTACTTTTCAAGAGAGGCTGGTCACATCCTGAAAAGATTACATTGATTTTTAGAGTCTGAAAACGATGAACATTTTCTAAAATCAAATTAGCTTTCCAGCTGCTTTTTAAAGGGTGCTTTTATTTTTATACACAACCCAAAAGTTTCAAATCTGGTTGTTTAAAATTGCACGTCTAAATCCATATTTAGACTCTGAAATAAAAAACCCTGATTTTCAAAAGTGCCAAGCACCCACAGCCAAAAATTTGCTGAGCATCTGCAGGTCAATCACAGCTGCAAGTGTGAAGCACCCTTGAAAATCGGGCCATTAATTGTGGCGTATAAATATGGGTATGGATGCCCAACACTATGAACCCATGTTTGAAAATGTTGACCAGAGTGTAATATATACACAAACCAATTTGTGTATGTTATATACACTGTTACATACTTTTAAACTCCACATGGTAAACAATGCATTTAAAGCAAAAGCCTAGTCCCATTGATGTCACTGAGAATTTTGTTACCGACTTCAGCAGGCTGTTTTCCAAGATCCAGCAATTTCATCCAGCACAGCACAACAGAGAAGTCCTTTGCTTTTAGAGCACATCTATATGGCTCTAGAAACAGCTAGGTTTATTTGGAAAGAAGCACTCTCTAAGGCTTATCAGATAAGTGCAAACTGATAAAATAAAGGCACAATCCTCTTGATAGAAAGCAGGCATTTTATATTCTACATAAAGCCTGGAAATCATGAAAGTGGACTATAGAATGAGCAGTAAGATGATAAACCTATGTTGTGTAATTCCAAAAATGATTGTGATCCATGCATTATACTAATAAGGGGCCAGAGTTTGCAGTCTTTACTTATGCAAATTACCATTCCCTTTACGAGGAGTTTTGCCTGAATATGGATGGTAGAATTTTGTCCCAAAGGAGAAGAAAAGTCAGATTTAAAAATATTAAACTAATTCTGAATGAGAGAGCCATATTAAACAACATTAAGGATAAGTTATCTAGCTTGGACGAGAAGGGAGCCCTCCCCATATTTATTTGGAAGAGTAGTTTTAGGGTTGCAGCCTGATCTTCCAGCTCAATTGAACCAGAACGTTAATCCAGGAATTCTTCTTTGGCTAACTCTGCCCTCAGTCAGCCAGTGGAAAGCCCGTTTCTGCCTCAGTGTCATGCCCATGATTAGATGAAGCCTGACAGGAGTGTAGACAATTTCTGTTATATATGGGTAGCCAGAGATAAAATATCATAATATACCCACTGAATATTACTGAGTCATTTTGGACTAAATTTATCCCCTTATTATAAAGTGAGATGTACAGTCTGTTCAAAATTCAGTTTTCTTTCTTTATTAATGCAATCCCTAAATGTTTAATTTCCGGTTGTCTACGCCCATGTCAGAAGTGTTATGCAGCTGTGGCTTGCCTGAAATGGAATTTAACAGTCACTGCAAAGCTGGAACCGCCCCCTTTGAATTGGAAGCAACTGGGATGTTGAATGGGGGCTACCTGGGAGCAAAGTGAAACTTTGCATTTTTCCATATAGACAGTTTCTTAAAGTTATTGTTAACATATTGGAGTAGCACCTCAGGGCTATCACCATATTCTGCTAGGCACTGTAGAAAGATATAATAAAGGCAGCTCATGCCCCAAAGACCTTATGATGTGCTCCAAAATATGAATAACTTTATTTTCTAAGGTTGGTGTTAGTATAAGATCACGTTGTAATTGTTTTTACACTACCCATCCAGCCCCTGCTCCTTTTCCTATGATCAGTTTTTTTCTTTTTAGTGTAGGAAGGAGATAGGGAGAGCGATTTAAATAAAAGATTTTGATGTGTGACTAATCTGTGTGGTAAAGTGTGTATATATATATATATATATATATATATATATATATATATATATA